AATAGTGTGTCCTAAGAGTCTCCTGCCAAAAGTTTCGCTGAATATCTGTAGTACTTTGTTTAACTTTCCTACCTTTATGTAAGCGACAGCTGGAGATATTGTGAGTTTCTGACGCGAATGCATTTCAAATATGTCGTTCAAAGCTATCATCTTCCATCGTAATACAACAAACTTAAGTTTCTTTGTAAACTTAGAGTAATTAAAAATCTACTAATTGTGTTCTGCTCGATATTCTCATATCATTCGATACAAATTATTAATTTCGACAAGACATTGTATACTGGAGACTTTAAAGTCACTTTTTTGAAGTAAAATTTACAAAAACCTAGCAAATAAAGTGTGCAAAAAGATCCTTCAAGAAATGCATTGATGTGCTATACTATTAGTAAAATAGTCTTGTAGTAGTTTTTTCATCTAAAATCAGCATATAGAAGCACTGACGCATGTAAAGATATAGTTTTATTGATCAGTTATTGATTCATTAAAAAACAGAGTTTGACAGTCAGCTTGACATTCTATATCCGCATAATGCTGCAAGTTTAGTAAATTTACCAGAAATTCCATATCGATACAAAAATTATTCAAGTCTGAAAGTGATAGCTGTACTTATTAATTAACAACCAAACAAATGTATAAAGCGATCAATAAAGATTTGGATGTTTTGAAAGCCAGAGTATTTAGAAAATCGTAATAATTAAAGAGAAAGACTGCACGACGTTTTTTCTGAAAATAGAAAAAAAAGCTTAACTTTTTGTACTTCGACGAAAAGTAGCATCGTTGTACAACACTTTTAAACTTGTCCGGGTAAAAGGAAACTCATAAAATCCACGTATCGTTTGAACAATCTTCATAAACTTAAATAAAATACAAAACTATCCAAACATAGCTTGTAGAAAAGCACTTCTACGATGCACTATTCCGTTTTTACAAAAACTAAGATAAGCAAAATAATTATTTCATGTAGACAAGCGAAGAACGGCATTCCAAATCTTTTGCCTAGTCATTTTGCGTCAATCTGTTCAGTAAGAATCCCAAAAAGTCGCAGTTTAGAATTGATCGAAGGTCTACTATAGCATTGAACTCCGCTTGTAGATACTCATCGATTTAAGTCATTGTCTGGCCAAAATCTACTCTTTTTCTAAAAGCAGATCTATTTAGGACTATCTCAATGCCTATTAAAAGTGTAGTTGCCATTGAACATGCAGGCTAGTTCTGTACCATCCCTTTTTGAGACTGACTAAATAGACCAAGTCGGCATAGTGTCCTTCACAAAACAACTCGAATGGAAAAAATAAATATTACCCATGATGGTGTAATTGTGCTCTGAAATAAATAAAGGAGGTCTGCAGAACCATCCGAAAAGGTTCTGTAGATTTATAAAAGGCTCCAAATGTGTCCAAACTCTCGAAAAAGGTATAAAATTCGGTTAGCATGCTCATTGCCGAAACCGACATCGTCGAAATGCAGATAGCCGAAGCTCGGCGAATTGTATTTCGGAGAACTAGTGTTTTGGCGAAGTACTGTTTGGACGATCTTACTATCGACAATCAGCTATTTCGGTGACCTCATCATCGGCGATATCACATTCAGTAATAGTCATCAATGATATTTGCAATATAAGAAATCTAATGCTATTATTGCCACTGGGACTTACTGATCGACATAAGACCCAAAACAAGTCAGCGACTAACTTAACCAAGGGTATCAGTCAAGTTAGTGACTAACTTAACTTAGGGTTTTAGCCAAGTTAGCGAATACATGTGAGTGGTTTGTGTGTGTATACGATATTTGCTTAGAAAGCGTGAATCGAAGAATCAGTGACTTAGAATTTTATAGAAGCAAAAGGAAGTTCATAAGTATCGATGGTCGAAAGATATTCGGCGATCTTGATTTCGATGAACTTGTATCAGTGATCTCTATTTCGATGATTTTTTTATTTCGACGATCTGCATTTTCGATAATGTTCGTTTCGGCGTGAGTTTCGACGATCTAAGCTTTCGGCGATGAGGCATACAACCTAAAATTTGGCAGAACCTTTTGAAGGTTCTGTGTTTTATCCTATAGTAGAACCAACTCTTACAGAACCTTTTCTTAGGTTCTGTACAGAAAAAAGGTTCCGTGAGAAAATACGAAACCTTGAGGGTTCTGTACAAAACCATTAACCGTTGTTACTAGAGGTCTGCGGGACAAACTTTTTCGTGTCTCGAATCCCATTTGTCCCGTCCTGAATATTTTCAAATAGTTCCGAAAAGCCCTGTTTGTTCTCTTAGCTGAAAAAAATAGAGATATGATTTTATCTAAGAACGATTTATCTTCTGTATACTATCAATAGAAACAATTTATTCATAATTATAATTTTGAGATGAATTAGTTCTTTTGCGATAAGCATTTGCTGACTGTGCAATATCAATCAAGAAATACGCTCAGATTCAGATAAAAATTAACGTTTATTACTTATCGGCTGAAATATTCGAAGTTATAATGTTAAAGATTTATCTACTCAAAGGTGAAGTTTAGAAAAAAGAAAAAGAGGTTAAGTTGAAGTACAGCTGCAGTTTGAGTATACTCTCGCTCTTGTTCATACACTGATTAGTGTGCACGGCATGTTAACTAAATAAGACCATATGTTCAAACTGCAATAGGAGTGAGATAATGGATGAAGAGATTGTTAATAGACAGGTTTTTAGGCATCTTGCAGTATGTTTTTGTTTTATATTATTTATTTAAGTGTTTAAACGTTTGCTGGAAATAGAAAATTTCAAGTCTAAAACAGATTTCAATATGTAAGTTCAAAAATTTCGGCACAACGTTTTTTTCGAATTATCCCGATCCCATTTGTCCCGTCCCGTGGAACAAACGGGATTTTTCGGGATTCGGGACTGTCTCACAGTGCTCTAGTTGTTACGTAACCTTAGTGGTTCCGTACTGAACTCTACTTGTTTTGTACAGAACCCTCAAGGTTTCGTATTTTCTCACGGAATCTTTTTTTGCTGTACAGAACCTAAGAAAATGTTCTGTAAGAGATGGTTCTGCTATTGGATAAAACACAGAAGCTTCAAAAGGTTCTGTCGAATTTTATCCCTTTTTTGAGAGTTTGGACACATTTGGAGCCTTTTAGAAATCTACAAAACCTTTTCGGAGGGTTATGCAAACCTCCTTTATTTTTTTCAGAGTACACACCCACCAAAATGTTCCTTTGTATCTTCTGAAACTTGTTTTTATTGTTCAAGCGTCACTTTTAAATTTTAGCAAGCAAACTTTTGTATATTTATACAGTTTTTATTTAGTCGAAGTTACCCATTTACGATGTTCTTCTTTTTCTGTTTTGTCATTATCTTTTTTAACTCGAGAATTATATAGATTAAACGATTTATAGAAGAATGGTCAGTTTGCTTTATAAAGAGGCACAGCACATTTCGTTTTCCATTAACTTACAATTTATTGGATTCGCTTTTTTTTGTATTTTGTATTATATTGTAATGTCTTTATGTTTCAAGTGTTGTTTAACCAGAGTTAATAAAGTTTGATGTAATCACTCTAGCACTAATGTCAACTTTAAATAGTAAAATAATGTAAATGATTAACGAACAGGTAGAAGTATAGAGAAGTTCTAATAACTACAGAAAAGTACGAAGAAGTATAGAAAAGCTATTAGCACAATTCCTTGGCGGATTAAAAATGTGAAACACGATGGAGCTATTGTTACTAATTAAATGAAGGGTGTGGATGTAGGTGTGGGTGTGGGTGAGTGTGGGTGGGTGTGGGGTGTGGGATGTGAATGTTTGTCAAGCCGTTTGATACCACACCCACACCCCGCACCCACCCCACATCCACATCCACACCCACCCACACCTCACACCCACCCCACATCAACACCCACACCCACCCACACCCACCCCACACCCACATCCACACCCCACACCCACACCCACCGACACCCACACCCTACACCCACACCTCACACCCACACCCCACACCCTACACCCACACACCCATACACCCACACCTACACCCACTCCCACACCCACCCACACCCACACCCCACACCCACCCACACCCACACCCACACCCACACCCTTTTTGTGAAGCACGTTTCTAAGCCTATAACTTTCTTACTACATGAGCTAGCGGGATCAATCAAAAGTCATTTTGTAGCACGTGTTTTACTGCATCTTTCTTTTATAGAGATGGATTTTCAACCATGTGTTTTGTTTAAGAAAAATTTACTATACAAATTGACTCAGAACTTCTGGTCCACCCCTTATGAGCGTGAGCGCGTGTTGTACACCCCTACTTTTTGTTTTGTTTTCTTGTAGATGTCGAATCCAAAACAAAAAATCGTCCTTCTGATTGGTCCTCCAGGCAGTGGCAAAGGTACCTTGGGACACGCCGCTGCTGCCAATTTGCCCAACGTCCTCCATATTTCATTGGGTGATTTCGTTCATGATGAAATGCAAAGCCCAAACAGTCGATTTGGCAAGAGTGTTTCCCCTTTCGTGCACAGAGGCGAGCTCATCCCGGACAACATCATGCTCCACATCTTAAGCTGTCGTCTCCAGCAACCCGATGCTTTGGCTTCGTCTACCATTCTTCTTGATGGTTTTCCTCGCACTCTGCATCAAGCCAAGGCCTTGAACAAAATGCTTACAGTCGATCGTGTCGTTCTCCTGCAGGCGCAAGAAGAACTGTGCGTTGATCGTATCAATCATCGTCGAATTGATCCAGTCAGTCATCTCAGTTATCACACGCTACTGATTCCTGCACCGACTGCCCAAGTAGCAGCACGTCTCGTTCGACGCGAAACTGATCTGGACGAAAACAAAATTCGTGGTCGTCTTCAATTTTTCCAGCAGAATTCGGCTTCGATTCTGGCCGTTTTCCCTGGCAAGCTCTTTGCTCTCAATTCAGCGGTCAGTATTCAGGAAGAGTTGTCCGCGTTGCAGCAAATCTTGTCTGAGCCCATCGTCGTTGAGGCTCGCAAAGATCCGGATCCTTCATCGATGCCTGCCAATCCCAATTCGAACAACAAAGTTGCTAAACCATTGTGTGTTATTTGCATGGACGAAGAAGCGGATGGAGTGGTCTTACCATGTGGTCATCTCTGTGGTTGTGAGCCTTGCTTGAAGATGTTGCTCAACAGTGGAGCCAAGTGTCCCATTTGTCGTGCACACATGAAATCAGTTGTCAAAGTATTCCAGAGTGGAGTTATGGAAGAAGACATGCAAGTGGAGCAAAAACAACCTGAGATTGTACCTGCACAGGTTGGTTGTTTGCATTTTTTTTTGTAGTTGGGTTTTGAATTGTTCACTGCGACTCGATTGTTTACTTCAATTCATCTTTTTTGTTTTTCATATTCATTCAGGATGAGGATGATGGAAATTGGTCCTTGGCACAGCAATCCTTGTCTATTGCATCTGCTGGTGCATCTTTGTCCTCCGCTCGCCCTGCTCTCTCCATGGCTCCAGCTGTCGAATGGGTCAATGATCAAGTCCCTATTCCAATTGCCATTTCCATTGCTATTCCAAACATGGCTCAGCGTTCACAAGTGGATATTTGTTGTGTCATTGATGTGAGTGGCTCTATGGGGGAAGATGCCAAATTCCAGGACCCGAACGATGACTCCAAATTTGTCAGTGAAGGTATGAACCAACTGGACATTGTCAAGCATTCGGTCAAGGCAGTCATTCACACATTGACTGATCAAGATCGTCTCAGTTTAGTGACCTTTCATGATGATGCGCGTTCGGTCTTTACGCTTTCTGAAATGAAT